TAGATTAGTCCAAGCGGTTATTAAAAGGAAGATTGACTTGGGGACCTGCTAGCTCAGGAGTTTCTAGCAGAAACGTTGATAACCACCTACAGAACAACGGCATATTTACCCAGAAGACTACAGCTCTCATCTTCCATTGTTGTGTGCAGACGTCGTGTACTTGTGTTCTATACCTCTCTTGTATCTTGCCGTTCGTGTAGTGATGTGGCGCTGTGCTCTATACCTCTCTTGTATCGTGCCGTTCGTGTAGTGATGTGACCCTGTGTTCTGTACCCCTCTTGTATCGTGCCGTTCGTGTAGTGATGTGACCCTGAGTGTTCTGTACCCCTCTTGTATCGTGCCGTTCGTGTAGTGATGTGACCCTGTGTGTTCTGTACCCCTCTTGTACCGTGCCGTTCGTGTAGTGATGTGACCCTGTGTGTTCTGTACCCCTCTTGTATCGTGCCGTTCGTGTAGTTATGTGACCCTGTGTCTTCTGTACCCCTCTTGTATCGTGCCGTTCGTGTAGTTATGTGACCCTGTGTCTTCTGTACCCCTCTTGTATCGTGCCGTTCGTGTAGTTATGTGACCCTGTGGTTGACATTACTTTTTATTTGGGAGGTTCCGCATTTTATGCACCTTGAAGGTTCCTTTCCCGGTTCACAAGAGCCCGCCCACTGGTGCAGGTATTAGATTTTTCTTGTTATGTAGAACTGCCATAAATTTGGCACTAACTTCGCCGATAAGCGCTTTCGCTCGGTCAGTATAGTTCGCTTGCGGACTAAAACCACGGAGTTTGTTGTTTGTTTGTAGAACTACCGCATTTGAAGGTAATTATTGGGCGAAATCAGGATTTTAAAATTATTTTGTACATTGAGAGGCAAATATTGTTTTGTTTTAGAGGCTGTTTGATGCTTTATAGATATTTTCTTGTATAGTGACACTGGTGAGCAGTTTGATGAAGTATATTTTAACCCTTGCGAAAAATACGAGTTATAACGTACCAGTTTGGACCAACGGCACACTCGGGTCTAATTTATTCAGAATCTCATAAATGGTTTGGGAGATGAAACATGCAAACATGGAATTCCTGTTACACTTTCACATTCTTTGCTTACTGAAAGAAGTCCAGGTAAAGGGGGAACTAAATTTTAATCAGTCGGAAGAGGGTATATGTCCGCTTTTTATCAGTCTGAGGTTGTAGTGTTTTCATATTGTGTCCGCATGGAAGGATTGCTTTGTATTTAGAGAGAACGTATAGTGACAGGTGGAAAAGAAGTAACAAAGGATAAAACAGATTGATGTTTTTAAAGTAAGGTCATATCCTGAGCTACTCCAGTTGAAAAGGCATTTTGTTTTTAGCTTAACTGTAGAAGCACATAAGTACAACATCTTTGCAAATGGTCACCTACTTCAATAAGTTGTAAGGGTGATATTATTTACGCACTTAATAAAACAAATCCTATTAGTTAGATATATCACAAAGCACTGGTAGCAGTTGAGATAGTGATAAGCATCGTAATAATGAAAGAAAGCATTACCTATGCGGAGTTGTTGAACTATAACCTCATCAAATGGCCAAGGTTGGGTTGTCTCATAAGCACGCTGCGGATTTGGCAAGAAATAACCCTGAAACGTGTAAGGTATTCTATTCATATCGAGGGTCGAGCATAAAAAGGCCCATGTCTTCTGTTTACTTTAGTTTAAAACATTGTGTAGTTTAAAACATTGTGCTGATAAATATCCTAGATACAGCAGACAATTTCCAAATTTTCTCATGCGTCCAGTCTGTAGCCTAGACCCTATACCTGTTGAGCTATCCCATCTCATGTTAACAAGAATAATGTATTTCTGACGAGTGACGATTTAGGAAGGACATTTTCATTTTCCTTGTAAAATGTTACTTTTGGACACATCTCGTTTTCCATTTAGCTGTTACTGATGTATTCTGTTATTCAAAGAACTTAACCAAACTGCAGCATACTCGCACCCCAACTAAATGATTCAGTTGTATCCTGTTGTTCAGTGAGCCTGGCAGAACTGCAACACACTCACTTTCCAATTGAATTAAGTTGTGTCTTGTTGCTTGAAGACCTACCCAGAACTGCAGTACACTGACACCCCAACTAAATGATTCACTTGTATCCTGTTGTTCACTGGGCCTGACAGAACTGCAACAGATTCACTTTGCAATTGAATTATTCAGTTGTATCTTGTTGCTCGAAGACCTCTCCAGAACTGCAGTACACTCACGCCTAAACTGAATGATTCAGTTATATCCTGTTGTTCAGTGAGCCTGGCAGAACTGCAACACACTCACTTTCCAATTGAATTATTAAGTTGTATCTTGTTGCTCGAAGACCTCTCCAGAACTGCAGTACACTCACGCCTAAACTGAATGATTCAGTTGTATCCTGTTGTTCAGTGAGCCTGCCAGAACTGCAACACCCTCACCAACTGATTTATTCAGGTGTAACTTGTTACTCAAAGAGCTTACCGGAACCGCAGCACAGTCACTTTCCAGTTGAAGTATTCAGTTGTATCTTGTTGTTTAAAGACTTACCGAGACCTGCAACACGCTCACACCCCAACTAAACGGCTCGGTTGTATCCTGTATTTCAAAGAGCCCGCCATTACCACAACACACTCACTCACCAATTGATTTATTCAGGTGTAACTTGCTATTCAGAGAGCTTACCAACACTGCATACGCGCATATCCCAAATAAATGATTCAGTTGTGTCAACTTACCAAACCGCAAAACACTCACTTTCAGGTTAAGTTATTCAATTGTATACAGTTATCCAAAGAGATTACCAAAATTGAAGCACTTAGACTCCTCGGAAAGAAACTGTGCTACTGTGTTTTCTAATGAACACTAGAACGTACCTTTCCACAAGCAGTACGAGTATACTTAAACACTTTTATAATTAATGAGATTTTTCGCCTGTTTGTGTTACAATTTCCACTAATCGGGTTTAAGATTGCGTACATTCAAGTTTTTCTTAATCGAGTATGTGTTGAGAGGATATTCTTAAGTAAAATGCAGTTGGTGACTGACGTTTACATAAATTCATTTTTTTTTTACCTTGAGGGAATGTTAAGTAAGGTATTCTAGCTGTGTCTTCATTTAAATCATCTAGGTTTTGAGGCATCACTAATAATTGAAAGTACCGAGTGTTTGGTATTGAGATGTCTGACACAAAGGACAGCGAACAGTGTAGAGATGAAGACTTTATCGAATTTGTGTACGTGAATGAACCGAGCTCAGATATTCACAAGTCAGTGAAAGAATGTTAAAATAGCAACATAGAATGCCGCTAACATTATGGTTATGATTTCACAGCTGTGTAAATATCAAGACAGTATTCGAGTTGAGCCTGAACTTCGGTATGGAATTCAGCCATCGCTATAATTATATGCCGCAAACCATTGTTTGGCATGCCCATACATAACGTCATATGCAAGAAATCGAACGATGTTAAGTAAGATTTCATGGGGTTCAGCCACCCACCAACCCGGAAAGTGGAGATGCACGTCGTACCCTATCTAATTGCATGTCAGGCTTCGCCAGCATTGCTTGGTACAGCAGAGGGTGGTATGGTTTCCCATTTAGTATTGTCATATAACATTTTGTTTGGGATCAGGAAACTCCATATTTAAGCCCCCGGAGTTTGCCCATATTATGATCCCTTTTTAACTTTATTCTTGTTGCAACCTGGAGCCGGGATAACATTGTCAGTATAGCGATTAGCTATGGGCTGGACGACCGAGGGTTTGGGAGTTCCAGTCCCGGTAGGGTCAAGAACTTTCCCTTCTGCACGTCGTCCATACTGGCTGTCGGGTTCCTACCCAAGCTCCTATCCAATGGGTACCGGGGGCTCTCTACCCGGTGATAAAGCGGCCGGGGCGTGAAGCTGACAACTTACAGCTTGTCTTTTATGTTACAGTTCCGTCGCCAGTTGCAGGTTAGGTCGAGGCCCACTTCGACGGGACTGCCTTGGCTCTACAGATAGTTAAAACGCTCTGTGTGCGAATAATGATAAATTATATTTGAACCGGATGTGACCCTGAATAATCGAATGAGTCAGCAGTGGAACACGTGTCGAAAATATGTGTTTGTGGGATTACTTGGTGTGTTAGAACCGATTTTCGATTTTTAAATGAAGAGTTTATTTCTAAAGCCGGCATATTTGTTGACTAATGAAGCGAGCTCGAAGAATACGTCGAGTTTAATATTAATCCGTTATAATGGCGTTTTCATTTCATGTGCATATTGTTTGTCTGGTTTTGTCAGTGATGTAATATGTTTTTGAATGAGAATATATATTTTAATTGCCACTGTTGGATGTAGTTTCCTGTGGTTGATTTTGAATGTTATGAATCATCCGTTTCATAGCTAGTACAATTCCGGCATGAGATTTCAAACATGACTCACCCAGATGGAGCATACTGTAAGACATGTTGAATGTTATGGCTCTAATGTAAACACGGATAGCACAGTCGGTATAGCGACTAGCTACGGGCTGAACGACCGGAGATCGGAGTTCGAGGTCAAGAATTTCTTCCTCTCCACGTCGTCCAGACCGGCTCTGGGGCCCCACCCAGCCTCCTATCCGATAGGTACCAGGGGCTCGTTCCTTTGGGGTAAAGCGGCAGGGCCGCGAAGCCGACCAGTTATCTCCAACTAGTGCCTAGGCCAAGAAAATGTGGATCTATACAACGACTTCCTCGTACGCCGTCATGGCGCAGTGCTTAGTTAAGCACAGGGGACAACTTTGCTTTTACTTTCATATTTTACCGTGACTGACACACCCATATTTTGTTTAGTAGACAGTTTTTAGAAACGGAATAGAAGAAGCTTTACCTCTATTTTACAGGAAAACTGTTAAATTCATTTCCTAATTTCAGTGACGGTTTACACCATCGGTTTTGTGCACGTACATGCATGGGTGTTCATGCCGTTGTACCTCCAAAAAAGAAACGTGTTTATACAAGGAAGCTTTTCCTCTCTGTTACAGGAGTATCTGCTACAAACCACAAGCCACGGACAGACAGAAAGCGGAAGAACGCGGAAGCCGTTATCAAACCCCGTGGCAACAGTAGTGCAAGTGATCTAAGCAATAAGGAGGACCTCGAAAACAAGTGTAACAAAAAGCGAACCAGTAATCGCGGATCGAAAAAGAAGGTGCTTGAGGAGGCAAACAACAGTAAACTACGGTGCCACGTGCAGGTGCGTGTTGAGGATTGCTTGCATCGTAGCTCTGCGCTCAGGAGCTGCAAGAAGGACGTCACTTCAGCTACCCCTGTGGGGAAGGTTCCTCCAGTTGGTGACGCGGTACCAGTTCCCCAGGATCAACAAGCTGCTGACGAGCCTGCTGAGCAGGACGAGGCCGACAAGGAACTCTTACCCGACCAGGAGGAAGATAAATGTGTGATTCTTGACTCGAGGACACGAAGCGACGGGGAAGTGAGTTTGGAGGCCGATGATGAGAAGGGCCGGGGCAGTAGTAGATGTAGTGTGGTTCTAGACGAGAAAGCCAGTGAAAATGAAGAAAAGTGCAACAGTGGTACGGCCGTGCAAGAAGAAGTTTCTGAACCGTCGGTGATTGTGGAGGATAGGACGAGTAGTGACGCCGTGGTCGTGCGACAGCCAGCGACCAGTAGTCACGACGACGATGATGGACCATTGTCCTCATCCTCGCCTTTCAGCAGGATGGAGATCGACTCCTCGGCAACTGCTTTACTTCGTTTCCCCGACGACCGCTCCGACTCGGGGGTGAGCTCGCTACGATCCGGGAGCGGGGATGAGCGTTCCGGGTCTCGGTCCAGTGCGTTGAGTAGTTCGGACGAACCCCCTCAGCAGCAAAACAGCCAGTTGCCCCCGCCTTTGTTTCTACCTTCCTCCTCGAACTCAAGCAGCAGTGACAGGCTGACGACAACGCCTCAAGAACCGGTGCGCGTGTGGAGGGACCCCAGCTTGCTCCTGGTGGCCGAGCCCCACGTTCGCCACATCAGCAGTGTGCAGCATCAAACGCTGCTCATGTCGCATCCCCCGGCCCCGGCCGCCGCCACGGCCCCTTCGTCTAATAGTGCCCCTGCCGTCGTATCGCAGGCTCAAGCCCTCGCCCTGGCCCAGGCGCACTACTCGCCTGTGGTGCCACCACCCCCTCACCTGCTCAGCCCCCACCCGCTGCATCATCACCCTCATCCGGTTCCCCACCACCTGCCGCCCCCTGGCTTGTACTCTCAGCTGCCTCCCGACATGCTGTGGAATAAGCGGTACGCTCCGATCCCGGTTGGCTCCCATTTGCTGGCGCCCACGCACCCTGCACCAGAGGAAATCCTGGCGGAGAGAGAGCGGGAGAGAGTCTACAGGTAGGTGGTCGCTCGACAGGGCTTGGGGTGTGGCCGGACTCTCGCCTACTGGTGAGTTGACACTGCTAGCGTCTCCGAGCGGTCACACAAGGAATCAGGAGGATATCCTTGTTCCTTCTTCTGACCGGCTAGTTGGTTGAAAAACAAACCACTTGTTCTCCGGATGTGGTCGGTCGGACTGCGAAACTAACCGCTCGGAGGCGCTAGCAGTATGGCCACGCTCAGTACGAGATGAGAATTTCATTTCGACCGGCCTGGGAGATTCCGGTCGAATTCGCTCCTGCTCGTTCCACTTTAGCGTCACTACAGCCCAAGCAAGGCTCGCGGCTTTAGAATCTGTGGTGCTATAACGTCACACAACTCTGTTGTCAGCCATATTGAACTTGAGAAAATCTTAATTAGATCGTAAATGAAGCTGTTCTTGCGATAGTAAACTTTACATTGGTCATTGATATGTTTCAGACCCGTTTGCGTTTCTTTCCTTCCTGCATGCTTCCCACCGCGACGTCCCAGGTTCGATACCAGGTCATGTCATGTGGGATTTGTGGTATGCTAAGTGGAGTACGTTTTGTCTTGAGTACTTTGGTTTCCCCTGCCAGTTCTTGTTCTGCCAGCTGATCCGTATTCATTAATAATACATTAACTGGAAGAAAGAACTTCGCTAGTCGAAATGGACCAGTTGTTTGAAGACGAGGTAGGTATGAACGTGTTTTTCAAAAGAACCATTCGTGATTCACAGAATCGTGTCGCGCTCTGTCAGCCAGTGTTAGCATTGCGATATGTTTCTCACTTAGTTATTTTTTGTTTGCGTGAGCTCAGCCAACACGCGTTGAATGCATGAAAAGAGACTAACATTAGACTTTTGTGAGGTATTTGTGTTAAACATGAAATACAGTAACTAGCTGAAGGTGACACAGCACCCTCGAAGTATGTTGTCATATAGCAGTAATGTTTAACGTCTGTAAGTAATTGTGTTGATAAAAATAAAATGCTGTATTGCACACGTATTAGGTACACATGCCAGTTCCGCATGGGTGGGTACGCATGCCGGGAATCGAACGAGAGATAGACGTTATCATGAAACGCATGCCCTTGTGTACTTTCAACCGCCCCGTTACCGTAGTTGCAGTTTTTTTAAACTGACGTAACTCGTACATTATGTTGTTGGAAACTTGTGATCCTGTACCCTAGTTAGGGTAGGCACCCACGGACTGGTATTGATCGTGAATGTTTTTAAAACCCTTGTGTGCTTTTGATATCAGCCTTGGTACCGCAGTGATAAAAACATTTTTGCTTTGGTTATTCATATATATTAAGGCTATATATGACGTCAGTGGCAAACGTTTGTGTGCAGATACACGCACGCGCGCACACGCCGCTCAAACGTGTACAGACCAGTACTGCTGTGATAACATGAAAGAGTGCGTGTGGGAAGTTGGAAGTGGGTGAGAGAAAGAACTCGAAAACGCAGGGGGAGGGAGGGAAATGTCTATTATCGTCCCTAGGGACTGTGGTTGGGGTTGCTATAGTAACAGCTTCGTTTTCTGTCTCTCTTACTCGTTGCAATTACCGAAACCCCAGCGTTCTTCATGGCTCTAACTTGTGTGTGTGTGTGTGTGTGTGTGAGAGAGAGAGAGAGCTCTGCACCAACTTTCTCTATTAATGACTGTATTCCAAACGCGATTACGCCTTTATATTCAACGCAATTAAAAGGGTAAAATTAAAACAAACAGCCCCAGGTTTTACACCGTTTTATTACTTTCGAAAACTTATGCTTTCCAAGTGTATATATATGATGACTAGCTTTAATTGATTTTCTGTGTGTTCAGGTTTTCGAATTTCATGCAATGGCGAGATATTCATATGTAGCTTTTTTTTTTTGCCCCCTTCTGGATTATAGTAACCCCCTTATCCAAGGCGAGGGCTAGATTCCTGTGGAGTGGCGTGTTAGGCGACTCTGCATTCAACAGACTTGCTGTTTCATGTGTTCAATGAGGTTACGTGAACGCGACCATGTAAGGGCTTCTGTTAATTCTGAGATATGTAGGTTCATAACGCACGCATGTGAATAGCCCCTACCTATACTGTGTATGAAATAAAAATATAAACGCACAGTAAACGTAACAAGACAACATAAATAAGAAGCATGATAAGAAAGCGCTGCTGGAGAAAGATGCGGAAGTGTTGGAGAGTCAGGAGAAAATACTAAGCGCGGGCTAGCCTGTTCAGTACAGGAACGTGTTTGACAGACTGCATATACTCAACCAAGATTTCCCGTATTCGGCAAGTAATTAGTCGCATTTTCTATTGCTATTTTAAGCAAAGATTTTATGTATTCGGATGGATTTCAAGCATGAAAGCAAGTGAGTCTGCTAGCTAATTGGAACAAATAGCGAGCTTCTAGCTACAGGTAGTATACCTAATAACAATAAGGAAGGTAGTCTAGATGATGTTTCGCCACCTGAATGCAGGACAAAACCAAATATGGGGAATACAAAAACAAAAGCAAACTCCGTGGTTCTAGTCCGCGACCGAGCGACCGCCGCTTGTGGTCGAAGTTAGTGCCAACTTTAGCGGATAGAGGGTGTCGCGTGGTCAGCGCAACGAGTCCCCTCTGCCGTTAATTTCTTTTTTCTAGACCGGAACCGCTATTTCCTTGAAATAACTCCTCACTTAACCTCGAGGCTGAGTGGACCACGATCCCGACCCACCACTTCTCAGAAAATTTGGTAGCGCCCGGAATCGAACGCGGGACCTCTGGATCTATAGCCGGGAACTCTGACCACTAGGCCACAGAGGCAGTCAGTACGTCCGTCGAGAATGTGACAGTGTTCAGACGTATAGGAATGACATCAAACAAGCAGAGTAAAGAGCATGGTAACCACCCGCGACACAAAACTCAGTTTGATCGGTGTGCTGTTTCAGTACTTGAAGATTACTGAATGTATTTATAGCTTTACCTATTTTTTTGTACGGTTGTTAGCCCCTCCCCCTCCCAAACCTGAGGTAGTGACGCAGTTTGAAAGTGTTTGAGAACAGGGTGCTGAGGAAAATAGTGGAACCTCATAGGGAGTAACATGTACAGTATTATTGAGGGCGTTCAAGGAGAATGAGATGAGAGAGACAATGTAGCATGCTTGAGAGAACTGAGAATTGCGTGTAATTTGACAAGTTCTGACTTATGGGATATAACGCCATGCAGTCCCATAGTTTCGGAGAAACGTACCGCCTTCATCTTCATGGTCGAGGTGGCTGCGACATATTTCTCAGAAATGTCGGTTGACTTGTATCGGTCTGCAGGGTGATATCCAAGAATGAAGAATCCTTCATATCCACCGCTGTGAGAACCTCTAATTCTGAATGTAATCATTTGGAAACTGGAGGGAAGAGACTGCTTGAGAGATTCGCTCATTTTCTTCTTCTTCTTTGATGAACAGTCTTTCGTGTTTCTATGCTTGACTCCTTTCTGTGAGTGTAACTATCAGAGGGATATTTATAAGTTTTGTAATTTTATATTTTAATTTAATGGATTTGACTTTGGTACAGTGCTAATTGTATTAAATCTGTATGGGGGTCGTGGATTGTTTTCCTACCTGGATTTTATTTCCCAATTTGTCTACTGAAACTAGCACGTGCTAGGCAACGAATTTACTGGAGCAAGAAATTTGGTTTAATCGAATGCTTCGTGTGGTTGACTGCCCGGGAAAATAGAGCGGTTATATTATTTTATTTGGCTACGCCGAAGTGATACAAATTTTCGTTGTTCGCTATACAGTGAGCTAAATTTTAGGATTACACGTATCTGTGCTGAGAGCATGACCTGAGAGAAATGAGATGGAGGCAGGGCCAATTACAAATTTGGGCCTCCCACCCCACCCCGAAAACCATATAAGTGTCATCATTGGCAAAACAGCACGTTTTGAGCCATACCCTTCCCTAGAAGATTCTGCCAGATTTGATCCGGGTTTCCCGTTCTTTGGATTTCGCAATGATATATATCTATATATTTCCCCCCACACAGAGCAGGCTCGTCAGCCTTGCGTCCAACCCCCAACCTGGAGGACCAGGTCCCTATATTTATGTTCCCCAGTGACAGGGCTGCCCAGTGATATCCCCAGGCTGTGGGCTCCCTTTTTGTCGTCTTCTTCGTCTCGCATGTGTACGGTGGACACATTCTAACCCGCCACCACACGGGGAGGTATAAAAATATATTTAACAAATGCATAAAGAATGAGATTGTAATTTATTAGAAGAAAATTAGAATTTCGTGATGGAAACATTTTACGCATTATTTTCTAATATTGAAGTGGACCTTGAGGAAGTAAGGTATTGGGCGATAAAGTGGATTAGGTGACTCATATATGTCCACAGCGGCCTCTTGTGAGCAGGGAAATGTTTCTTTGAGATACATAAAATGTGGGAAATTCTTCGTCCAGACGAGCGGTACCCATTGGATAGGGGCTGGGTGTGCTCCAGGGCCGGTCTGGACGACACGGAGAAGCGAAAATTCTTGCCCCCACCGGTACTCGAACTCCGACTCCGTCTCCAGCCCGTAGCCGGTCGCTATCCCGGATCTATATACAGCAGCGACCTACATATGCCGAGCCGTGATATTCAGTGTAGAGATCAGGCAGTGCATTGAGCGCCTGCTCGACAGATGTTGCTGCTAGTTCTGTCGTTTGGATGCATGGAACGTGGGAGGGGAATATGTAGTAGAGTGGCAGGTGTAGAAACCCAGAAGCTGTCCGTGTCTGCGGTTTGTACATTGGTGCCTTGTGCCACGGAGGGGCAGACTTCATTGCTAACACTCCTCGAGCACAGATGTCACAAGTCAAAACTATGCAGTGATATTTTGAAATTTGTAAAGTTGCCCGTCTGTTTAACTACTTAAGTACTGTGCCATGAAGACGTATGGGGGTTGAGATATGACTCCACCATTCTTGACCTCGGCAGTAGATGTAGGTGAGTGGTCAGCTTCACATCCATTCTGCTTTACGCCC